ATAAGATGCCTGTAAGATCGGAAATGTTGGGGATACACCATGCATAAAAATTTACAGAACCAAGAAAGCTACACATGAGCTTCTTGGTTTTGGGTAATTTAAACTCTAATGAAGCTTTGATCTTGCTGGGGAAAGGCTGCAAAGAGTTATTAGAAAGAATAAATCCGAGATATCTAATTTTGTTATACCCAAGGAAGCATTTCTTCGGCTTGGCAGTGAGGCCATGTGAGTGTAACCTACATAAAACTGATATTAATGTTTGCATATGCTTGTCCCACGTGGATGTCATTATGTAAATGTTGTCAAAATAAACTGAAACATTTGAATATTACCCAAGATCTTTCTCATCAGTCTCATGTAGGTAGCACAGGCAGTTACCAAACCGAAGGGCATAGTTCTATACTGCAGTCCTTGGTGTGTAGGAAAAGCGGTGTACTGCTTAGATGAAGGATCTAACATTACTTGATGGTATGCTTGTGCAATATCAATCTCTGAAAAGTTATAAAATTTGTGTAGATCGCTATCTATTAAGGGCATAGGCTCAGCATCCCACCGAGTTATAGCATTAAGTCCTCTGAAGTCAATAGCAAGTCTATATGAATTGTCTTCCTTCTTAACCATGACTTCCCCTCAAGGAAGGTTCCTTGATGTTGGTGAAGGGCTCTTGATTTAGGGAATTGGATCTGTGCTCCAGTTCCCCAAATTTGGCATGAATGCCTTCCACATTCCCCCCCCCCCCCCCCAGGCGCTGTATAATCCTCTGGGTTTAGCGTTTCCCCCTTGATTATAATAATAACTAACCATGACTACTGGTGAGCAATATGTAGATACTGAAGGTTCAATGATCTTCAGTTTTGATAATCTGTCTACCTCTTGGTCAAATGCATCCCTAAGGTGAACTGGAACTGGGTATAATTTGTCTGATAGGGTTGTCCGTGACTAAGTCAATCTTATGGACTACCGTGGAGGTGACACCTGGAATATCAGTAAAAACATCCGAGAAGTTACACATTGAAGTAATTCATGTTTCTTATGGTCATCCAAAGACTCGTTGATATTAGTTTGTCGAACCAGTGTGTTCAAGAGTCACCAAATCATGTAGTTCTGTCATAGTCTACATTAGAGGTGTCAATTACACACACCTTACACTCCTCAGTTGTCTTACCAAGTTTGTGTGGAAAAACTAAATCAGCCATTCAGGCAGTTAACCGAATTTCTTTGGTAATATTTCTTAAGAATGTTGATATGATAAAGCTTAGGTTTCCCCTTGACTTCCATGAGGTAATCAACCTTCCCACAAATTTTCAATACCTTATATGAACCTTTCCATGCTACTAATAACTTATTTGACTTTATTGGTAAAAGTACCAGAACCTCATCCCCTACTTTAAAACTTCTCTGACTTTTGGTATCAAAATAGGTTTTGTACTGGTCCATTGATAAGCTTAAGTTTTTCGAAACTGTCAGAGGTCTCCTCAAGTTTGGATCTAAGGTCAAGGAGAAACTGATAAGAAGACTGAACCTCAGCATTCACCTCATTAATCCATAAGTCATGAAGGATGGACAATGGACCTCTGGCCTGTCTACCATAGAGAAGTTCAAAAGGTGAAAACCCCAAAGAGTCACTGGGAACTTCCCTCATGGCAAACAAAGCACAGGGTAGGTAACGATGCCACTCCTTAGGTTTAAGGGAGCTAAGTTTCCAGATGGCAGTGTTTCCGGACAGCGTCGTACAAGGGCATTTACTATCTTCGGCTAGTATTTTTACTGCTGAATTGTATGCCATCCTTACAGCACTTATCCGTATTGCATCTATGCCTGTATCATCATTTATGGTTGTCTCAGACTCCCTTAAGCCCTTGTGGCTTAGCGCTTCTTTTTGATTATAATAATAATAATCAGACTCCCTTAGTGCTTTACAGGCTATACAAAAATTTGATTCACCTCACCCCTTAGTCCTCCGTATCCAACTTTGGCTACGCCGCATCTTTACCAAGCATAAAGATATTGTTTTTTGTTGGGTCCCTGGTCTGTTGACGTACAGGGCAGTGAACAGGCAGACACTGCTGCGCGGTCAGCAGTACATGACCTACCAGTTTCTTAGAGGTATTCCATTTACGGACTATTTTACTGCAATATCTTCCCACCTTCCACACCCGTTGGCAACAACGTTGGTCTACTATGCTCGGCAACAAACTTCAATCTATTAAACCGAGTATAGGTTACTGGCCATCTTCTTATCACCAGTGTCGAGTTGGGAGACTACTCTCTCCCGTCTTCGCATTGGCCATACTCGTCTTACTCAGGGATATCTCATGGAGAGGCGTCTTGTCTCCTCTCTGTGAGAATTCCCAAAAGCTCCATTATCAGTCAGCCACATTCTGTTGGACTGCCCACTTTATCAACGAGAAACGCAGAATTTACCTCTGTCGTCGTTTTTCGCTCCGCTGCTCTCTTACCTTCCTTCTCGCTGATGGACCCACCTTTCATCCGGACTCTCTCATTGACTTTTTGACAACAACTGACTTACTTCACAAATTCTGATACCTTCAGCCCTTTCTACTTCAATCTCTTGCTACCCTCTACCCCCGTACTATCCCCTGCCCCGCTGTTTTCTGTAACCTGCTGATCATCCCCCCTCCCTTCTGCCATCCAATTACCTTGCTTCCTCCCCTACCCTGCAGCGCTGTATAGCCCTTGTGGCTTAGCGCTTCTTTTTGATTATAATAATAATAAATCCTACTTGAAAGAGAAATGAAAAATGAAATATAAAAATATTTGAATTCAACGGTAATGTGTAGTTATACTGTGTGTCTGGTTGTTGATGTTGACACTGCGCACTGTAGAAATTGTAGCTGATGATGGGGGGGGGGGAGGGTCACAGCCGGTGAGTGACAACCCAACGACTATTCAGTCACAGTATGTTTTGCCTTGAATGATCTGTCAATTTGATAGGAATGCAGGTCCTTCACCACTGCAAAGATGGGTAGTTGCCTGGGGTTGGCTACACTCGGGTACGTAGATCAAGGGTGACGTCCCAGAACTCGCGTGAAGTTCGTCTCCTTCAGCACTGTCTCTGTAGTTGCCAGATGACCCAAGCTGACATTCCAAGAGTCATGTTGGGAGCTGCGAGTCAAGTGATTATCCATTTAGTCGGAGCCCCACACGTCACTTTTCCGGGTGGAAAAAAAGGGGGGGGGGTATAGCGGGAGCTAGACACTGACCCTACCTTAACAAGCAGACTGGCAATCAAACTATCGTCACCATATATTCGCTCGCTACTCCTATATGTTGAACTTTTCCCTCGCATTCGAATATTTTGCAACACTTCAGGATTTGGGGTCTAGACAGTCAAAGGGTTAACAAATGCCCTCTTTATTTTATGGGTTTATTAATTACTGTACTCAAATAAAAATGTTGCAGTACAATCCACCCCAAAATGGTAAATTTTAGAATGTTACTGAAACTGTAAATTAATCACAAAGGTCTGGAATTTAAGTCGTCAGAATTAGTCTTTCATAATTGACTGTTTCATCATGGATATGTGATGTTACGAGGTTTTCAAATAAAGGTCTTCTTGACACATTCTTGACTCTTCAGATATTTCATGTGCTTTGATATTTTCCTGTGTAATTTTTCATACATCAAATACTGTCAAAAAGTAACATTGTTTTAGCTCCTTGATTAATTTATTTGACAATTAGTCGTAGCTATTGAGAAGTTAGTTATTAGCAAAATATGCCAAGACTTGCACAACTGATGGATAACCACTAACAACTGTGGTGTAAACAAAGTGGATGCACTACACACCATGCCACCTGTGGCCACCCAGTAAACTAATCTGGCAAAATAAAGTCTCACAATTTGTCCAGGTTAAGAGGTGCCAGACCATCCATTGCTGGAAAATTGGCATCGTACCTGTACTAACAGTGCTAAACTTGTAGAAATAATAACGGGGGAATACTAAATTCCTAAGTGGTTGCATATTGCTTGGGGAATAATAGTTAACTGTAATTAAGCTTAATCACAGGAGTGTACCTAAATTTCTTGAATTAAGAGCCTTTTGCTAGCATTCCTCTCGAGTAACGGGTTTAGCGCTTAGTTATGATGATAGTCCCCCTTTTCCTTCCTTTCTTTGGATCAAACCTAAATGACTTATTTCTCAGGCACTAAATGATCCCTGTAGGATTAGTACTTACCCTAAGTGAAATATTAGCTCATCATTAAGGCATTTCCTTGAAGGGCTCTAAATCCATAAGAATTATTCAGTTCAGCAGTGGATAGTTGGAGTGTGTAAGAGGAGGAGATAGTTGATGCAGCATTTAAACTATGATAAAAGTATTTACAGATGCCATAAACCTGTGTGGACCATTCAGGATCAACTAAACCAAAAGTAATCTGCATTATAGAGCCTTAGAGCAAGTAGATAGAATAAACGTGGCAGTGCAATGAAATGTGTTGAGTAAACACGTTTCAGGGGGCAAAATCCTAGCAGGGAGAGTAGTGGTTATTACAATATTGTGAGCTCTAATACCTCAAATACATTACACAACTGTAAGTCTCTGATACATAAAGCATAAAACTTAACTTATTAAGTTGTACATCATTTATTACATTCCTGTAGGCACCGCAACCTGATTCACCATAATACATGGCTAGTAAAACACACCCAGTACATTGCATCACATCATACTAATAGTCATAGCACACAACACATTCAAGTTTTATAAGTTTGTAACTTAATGCATTCATAATGTTAGCTACATTTAAAAACCCTGTATTTCTTCAACACAACAAACTAAAATAAAGTAGATGTGAACTTTGAAGTATCAAAAGCCTGGAGTGTAGTGTGTAAATTAAGATGCATGTATTGCAATAGAGAACATGAGAAAAGGCAACCATCACTGATGGATATTGGTTATTTCTTTGTACGTACATATATGACTGGCAGTACAATACCACACTTCACCCCAACCATGGTTAATAAAAAATAGGGAGAGTAAAGTCAGTATTCATTTATTTTTTTACTAACTAAAAAAAAAAAAAAAAAATGTGAATTCACAATTTTTATTTTACCTTGCCTCTCCCTTAACCAAAATGTGTTATCTTATGATTGTCTTAAATTGGAGCAGTGTACCAAAAATCTGAATCACATTGAAAACTTGGAAAGTTATTAATACACTCAGTGACAAAACTTTCCTAGTCTCCTCTCAAGCTGCATCTTTGAGGTCCATGATAAAATTGAATACTGAATTTTCTAAGTATGCTTTGACACTTCAGTTATTCTACTTATTATTAATAAAGTACCAAAGTAGTATACAGAGAATCTTAGCAAGTGGTTCTTATATACACCCTCAAAATATTTTTTTTTATTCATACTCTCCTGAGAATGATCCTGTGGAATTACCTACCGGTAATTTCCCCCAACATTCATGGGTATAATGAACCTTAAACATTATGTAAACATTCCTTGCATGTTAAGAAAGAGCTTGTTCTTCCTACCCACTTATATCCCTCAATTGGCTGCAGACTGGGCTCTCTCTGCCTCCTCGGCAATTACCGTAGGCTTTGGTGTGAAGTTAGTCACCTCTTTGTACACCAGTTCTATGGGAAGAAATAAATTTCATTATTTAACCTTTCAGTTCTGGAAGATTATTATTATTATTATCAAAAAGAAGCGTTAATTATTATTATTATCAAAAGAAGCGCTAAGCCACAAGGGCTATACAGCGCAGCAGGGTAGGGAAGGAAGCAAGGGAATTGGATGGCAGAAGGGAGGGGGGATGATCAGCAGGTTACAGAAAACAGCGGGGCAGGGGATAGTACGGGGGTAGAAGGTAGCAAGAGATTGAAGTAGAAAGGGCTGAAGGTATCAGAATTTGTGAAGTAAGTCAGTCGTTGTCAAAAAGTCAATGAGAGAGTCCGGATGAAAGGTGGGTCCATCAGCGAGAAGGGAAGGTAAAGAGAGAGCAGCGGAGCGAAGACGACGACAGAGGTAAATTCTGCGTGCTCGTTGATAAAGTGGCAGTCCAACAGAATGTGGCTGACTGATAATGGAGCTGGCAATTCTCACAGAGAGGAGCAAGATGCCTCTCCATGAGATATCCATGAGTAAGACGAGTATGGCCAATGCGAAGACGGGAGAGAGTAGTCTCCCAACCTCGACACTGGTGATAAGAAGACGGCCATAACCTATACTCGGTTTAATAGACTGAAGTTTGTTTGCCGAGCATAGTAGACCAACGTTGTTGCCAACGGGTGTGAAGGTGGGAAGATATTGCAGCAAATAGTCCGTAAATGGAATACCTCTATAAGAAACTGGTAGGTCATGTACTGCTGACCGCGCAGCAGTGTCTGCCTGTTCATTGCCCTGTACGTCAACATGACCAGGGACCCAACAAAAAACAATATCTTTATGCTTGGTAAAGATGTGGCGTAGCCAAAGTTGGATACGGAGGACTAAGGGGTGAGTGTATCAAATGTTTGTATAGCCTGTAAAGCACTAAGGGAGTCTGAGACAACCACAAATGATGACACAGGCATAGATGCAATACGGATAAGTGCTGTAAGGATGGCATATAATTCAGCAGTAAAAAAATACTAGCCGAAGATAGTAAATGCCCTTGTACGACGCTGTCCGGAAACACTGCTGCGAATCCTACGCCGTCAGAAGACTTAGAGCCATCTGTGTACACAGCAATGGCATGAGAATGAGAGTGAAAGTGTTCAAAAAAAAGAGGGGGGGAAGCGACCGTATCATTGGGCTTTGGCAAGGAGGGAAAAGAACAGACTCGAACACTGGAACTTCCCAGGGGTAGGGAAAAGTGAGATGCTAAATGTAATAGAAAGGTGGAGTTGAAGAGAAAACAAGAGCGAAAAGGCGAAGAGAGGGGACGGAGAAAAAGGGGGCGGCGAACAAAAAAGAATGTCTACAATATCATGACCTTCTATAAAGGGAAAAGGTTTGGGGAGATCGAGACTACATATACGCGGCAAGGGGCATCAGGGCGATGAAAGGATGGAACTTCCTTCTGCATAGAGGCTCTCGACAGGGGAAAGCGGAAAGCACCGGCAAAAACAAATCCTTGGTGATAAAGGGGGTTAAAGGCTGAGAGAGTACGGAGATGCCGGAATGATTGGTCCCCATTTTCAATTTTCCCATAAAATAAGGGGGGAATGTGGGGAAAGGGGGGGTTCGACGATCAGCCCCCACGAAAGATAAAAGGGTTTTAAGGGGTTCACCCGCGTGACAATTCCCTTTAGAAGGTAATGTAGGTTTCCAGGATAACCCAATCAAAGAGGGGGCCCAGAATTGACATCACTTCAGGGAAACGGGAGCCATAGAGGTAAAAAGGATGATGGGAGATGACAGAGCGTTAGTGAAATGATTTGGGGGGTTTTTTAGTGCGGGAAAATTTTTAAACCCACGGTGGTGGCCCAATTTGGGAACACGGTCGACTGCTGTTGGAAAAAACTTAAAATTTCCCGCGCCTGCACAGGCAATAGCAAAGCATAACATAGAGGAGACCAAAAAATTTATGGAAAAACGAGGGGCCAAAACTTAATCAAGGGGAAAAAAATGTTTGCTCAGACACATCCCGGGGGACACCTTCAGCTTGGAAAATCCCGGGAGAGCCTTATTAACCCGAACACGGAAACCTGTCAGTTAAAAAGTTCTTAAGGAAGATGGGAATTGCCTCGAAGGGCCCAAGGAGTGGGCTTGGGCAAAATATTATCCTCCCAATTGTGTCATAGCCTTTTTCAGGTCAAAAAATATGGCAATAACTGAGTGGTTATTCGCAAAGGCATTACGAACATACGTATCCAAGCGTAGTAAGGGTTCTAGGGTAGAACGTCCCTTACGAAAGCCATATTGACGAGTGGAGAGACTGTTTGGGGTCTCTAAATACCACACTAAACGTCTATTTACTAGGCGTTCCATTACTTTGCAAACTGCACTGGTAAGAGCAATGGGACGATAGTGGGAGGTTTCATGTCCCGTAGTGCCTGGTTTGCGGAAAGGGAGAACAATGGCGGATTTCCACAGCTGTGGAAGAACTCCTTGTGACCAAATAAGATTGTAAAGGCGTAATAGGACTGCAAGGGCTGACTGACGTAAATGTTGTAGCATACGAATATGAATGTCATCAGGCCCAGCTGCCGATGATCGACGAGCTGAGAGTGTTGCCTCCAGTTCTTGAAGTGTAAAAGGCACATTATACTGTCCCTGAGAAATACGGACCAGATGATTGCCAATTTCATTGGCAACATCTAGTGGGTTTGCTATATCAACACCGGCAACCCGCAGAACAGGAGCCGGGTCAGGAGAATATTTACCACTCAGTTTTTGTACTTTTTTCCAGACTGCACTCATAGAGGAAGCAGAGGTGATGGTGGAGACATAATCTCGCCAGCAAGTGCGTTTAGCATCACGGATGACACGGCGAGCGATCGCACGCTTCTGTTTAAAATCAAGGAGTCGCTCTGTGGTTCTATTGTACCGGTACCTGCCCCATGCAGCGCGTTTCAAACGTACTGCACGAGCACAAGCAGGAGACCACCAAGGCACACATTTCTGAGAATGCCTGCCCGAAGTTTGGGGTATAGAATGAGAAGCTGCGGTGAAAACGGAGGACGAGAAGAGGTGTAAAAGCTCATCGATGGAGGACGAAGAAGGAACCTCTTTAAAAACAGTTAGGTGTGAGTAAAGGTTCCAGTTTGCCCGATTAAATTGCCAGCGTGGGGTGCGAAGAGGTGGCGAATATGAAGGGGAAGTAAGAATGATTGGGAAATGATCACTGTCATGTAAGTCCGGGAGAACAGACCAAGTGAAGTCTAATGCGGCGGAGGAAGAGCAAACTGAGAGATCGATGCAAGAGAGAGTATGAGTCCGAGGATCAAAATGGGTGTGAGTACCTGTATTTAAAACATGGAGGGGGTGGGTGGCAAGAAAAGCCTCTAACTGAATTCCACGGGAATCACAGTGAGACCCCCCCCCCCAGAGGAAATGGTGGGCATTAAAATCACCAAGTAACAGAATCGGTGGCGGTAATGACGAAACAAGGAAGGCAAAATCCGGAATAGATAATGCCCGAGAAGGAGAGAGATATAAAGAACAGAGCGTATACCACCTATGTAAGTGGATACGGGCTGCTGTGTAATGCAGCGAAGTATGAACAAATAGCTGATGGTACGGAATATCAGTGCGGAGAAGAAGGGCACTTTCATTAAAGGTCCCATCAGGAAAAGGATCTGAAGAATACAATAAATTATAGCCTGAGATGTGAGAAATAACAGCAGAGTGTAATTTTGGTTCCTGTAAGCAAACACCAACAGGGGCAAACTGGTAAAGAAGCGTTAAGCCACAAGGACTATACAGCGCTGCAGGGCAGGAAGGAAGCAAGGGCATCAGGTGGCAAAAGGGAGATGGATGAGTAATAGGTTACGGATAACAGTGGGGTAGTGGATGGTGAAAGGGTAAAGGGCAGCAAGAGACTGAACTAGAAAGGGCTGAGGGGAGTGCGAAAAGTATCATCAGAGTTTGTGGAGTAAATCATCGTTGTCAAGAAGTCAATGAGAGAGTCAGGATTAAAGGAGGGTCCATCAGCAAGAAGGGAAGGTAAAGAGAGAGTAGTAGAACGAAGACGACGTTGGAGGTAAATTCTGCGTGCTCGTTGATAGAGAGGGCAGTCTAACAGAATGTGGCTAATCGATACTGGAACTTGACACTGCTCACAGAGAGGAACAGGTGCCTCTCCATGAGATACCCATGATAAGACTGAGTGTGGCCAATGCGAAGGTGGGAGAGAGTGTCTCCCAACCTCGGCACTGATGACAAGAAGACGGCCAGTAACCTATGCTCGGTTTAATAGAATGAAGTTTGTTACCGAGCAGAGTTGACCAACGTTGTTGCCAACGGGTGAGAAGGTGGGTAGCTATTGCAGCAAAATAGTCCAGAAATGGAACACCTCGATAGGAAATTGGTAGGTCATGTACTGCTGACCGCGCAGCAGTGTCTGCCTGTTCATTGCCCTGTACGTCGACATGACCCGGGACCCAACAAAAATCAATATCTTTGTTTGGGAGAGATAACGGCGTAAGCAAAGATGGATACCGGAAGAACGCGGGGATGAGATGTATCAATTTTCATATAGCCTGTAGAGCACTAAGGGGATCTGAGACTACTACCAATGATGACACAGGCAAAAGATGCGATACTAATAAGTGCTGCAAGAAATGGCATACATTCAGCATCTTAAAAATTGCCTAGCTGAAGATAGTAAATGCCCCCTCACGACGCTGTCCGGACACTGCTGCGAATCCGACGCCATCTAAAGACTTACATTACAGCCATCTGATGGGTACACAGCGGGTGGCATAGAAATGGTAGTGGGAAAGTGTCAAGAAAAAGAGAGCGGGAACCAACCGTAGCAGTTGAGCTTTCGAGCAAGGGAGTGAGAAAGAACAGACCCGACAAGCAGGAACTTCCCAGGGGTTAGGGAAAATGATATGCTACATGAACATATAATAGGTGGTAACTTAAGGGAATACGAGTGAATGTAGGCAAGAGAAAAGTACAGAGCACAACGAGGGGCGCGAATGAA